TTTCTCTTGTCTGTTTCCCCAGTTTTTGTAATGGCAAATATTTGTCATAAAAAAGTTCCCACAAAGGAATCTTTAAAAGTATGATTCTTTTAATTATTTTCAGATCATTGTCACATCTCTTATCTCATTTGATTCTTACAGCAACTCTTTGGGGAGTTAATGTTAAGTAATTCCATTTTGTAAAATGAAAAACTGATATAATATGTTTATGATTTTCACTAAGTCACTGAGTTGGTGGAAGGTCAACCTGTGGGTGGCTCTCAGATCTAAGTCCTGCTAACCCTTTGGCTTCCAGGATTTCATCTCAGATTCTTGGGGCTCCAGAATCTGTTCTCTTAAATGGATTTGACCCTGTGATCCAAGGTGGGTGTCTGTGGTTCTCAATGATAGACGCATGAGATATCCCCAAAGATGTAATCCCTGCCTAGGGTGCTTTCCCACTCTCCTCTCTGGCAAAGCCCCAAGTCCATGTGGGTAAAAGTTCTTGAAAATGTTGAAAGAAGGAGGGAGAAAGAGGGCAGGTTGTATTGGAGATTTAAACCTGCCATGGATCTTGTGCCATTCAATACCTTCCCTCCTACAACTTTTCTCTTTCTCTCTCCAGCTCTCTTAGAAACAGGTTATTAGGGTCTTGCAGTATGATTTTGGCCAAAGGTCTCCATTTAGGACCCTCAGAACTTAGCCTAGAGTTCCCCACTTCAGAAAATGTGGGAGGTTTAAAAGAGGGTAAACCTTGCTCGAGAATATCAAAGACAGAACCAGAGAATTCAAATCCCCTGTTTCCAGCCCAAGGTGCTTTGCAGAGTAATCCACCTATCCCTGAGAAAGCCCCAGTGTGTCGTGGATTTGCTGTAACTGGAGAATACGACCACTCTCATTGTTTTCTGCCAGAGGTCTCTTTGTTGTTCTGTACATTTCTTGACTTGACCTATGATATTTACTGGTGATGGTGGGGTGAGGGGACAGAGTAAGTTCTGGGAGAGACTCAGGGATCTCCCAGAAAACCCTCCCTGGTTCAGAACTAATGATACCATTACTGAGGGCAGACTGTGTGCCCTGTCTTCAATGTACCTTATGTGTCAAGTGCTACGATTCGTGCCACTTTTCTTTTGAGGAAACAAACCTGGGGAATGAAATGACTTTCCTAAGGGGGACACAGCTGTTAAATGCTGAATCTAGAACTAGAGTACCTCCCACACTTTCCAGTCTACTGTGTGATGCTGCCTCACATCCTGAGGGTGCCAATTTTGGAGACTCTAAATTAGTAACCCCCACATTCAAGCTGACTTTGTAGGAAGTGTGGTCTTGGGAAAGCAGACCAAAGAAGAAAATACACCCACTCCCTTTCCTCAGTGGAGAAGTGGGTTGAACCAGGTGGACCAGGCTACTACTAGTGCCCTGATGCTGCCATGGCTGGTTTTAATTTGTGTTGCTAGAGTTCCTTGAGCAAATATAATTTTGGGGTTTGGAGCACACAGTAATGCAAGGAGAGGAATGTGGGAAGGGACTGTGTGCTGAACTGCAAAAAAATCTTTAAATATCTCTTGAACTTTTTCTTTTTTCTTTTCTTTTTTTTTTTTCTTTTGGCTCACAGCAATGTTTTTGTGTTTAGATTTGGTTGCCACGAGTGGACTGTTTTTAGCTGCCTAGTTCCTTCCCCTTGCCTTTTAATTTTTTCCCCTTCCTTTTGCACATGCCACAGCATGAAGTCTTCAATTCTTATCTCACTCAGCAAAACATACCAAGGCTGATTTGAATGTGGATTCCCCAGGCGGTACTCCACCATAAAACCTCAGCCACATTCAAGTTTCTGCTTCCCCCTCTTTTATTGAGGATTAACCCCAGTCAGAGCTTCCTTCTAAGGCAGGGCAATCATTCTTTGCCTTTGCATACATAGAGGAGTGACTTTGGTGTGGGGAGATTTTCTTATCCCTTTCTGCATGGTACTGCCTGTGCATGTGGTGACAAGTGTGCACGCTGGACATTGGTCGCATTAACTTAAGCCAGGGTAAAATGAGAACCCACAGAACTCAGATACGGATACTTTTCCTGTCTCCTTGCAGACCTTGCGGGGATCTTCCTTTCCATTGCTCTTTCCTAGTCTCTCTTTAATTCAGTAGGTATATTACAAATTCTTCTGGGGGCTGAGGAAAGAGACAGGCAGAAGTAATTTTTGTTTTCCTTGGATAAGAGTTTCATTCAAGTGAGGGTGGATTCACTTCTCCACCAAGATTCTTATCGCTTTTACGGCTTCAGGAGGAGAGAGGCAGAGAATACCAGACTCAGAGTTCTGTAAACAGCTGACAGCGTTTCTATCCAGGTGCGACTTGGAGATTCAAAATTCTAAGAATGACTAGAATGAAGCAAGGTTAGGAAGAACTCGAAGCACAACTGTAATAAAAAAAAACCGAGCCGATAACGTGTTGGGGACATCTCCCGTCTTTATTACCCTTCTCTTACATTGTTTTGTGGATACGGGTCTGGCTGTGTTTACTCCACGCCCTAAATTGAATTTCCTCTTAAGGACTAAGCCAAACCTCTATAAATCTAACTTGGTTGGATTGATAGAATCATACTTTAATACGTAAGCTGGTTAAAGATTTCTGTAGGTGGTTCACAGCAGGGAGGGGGGAGCGAGAACTTTTGCATGTTCTCCCTCATCTCCTTGCTTCACTTTATAATGCTATTTTTATTTCGGTACGGTCTATAAGTAGATTCAAAACATAAACAGAAATCCCAAACGACTTTCACTTAAATGCACACTCTGCCATTTAAAGTCGTTTGGCATTCTGGGGGTTGTGCTGACACGCCCAGGATTTACCTGCCCGCAGGTCGGCTGGAGGGCGGGGTGTGAAGGTGTGGAGCCGGGTGTGGGCGTGGGAGATACAGGGTGGGGCGGGAAGAGCCGTTACCAAGGAGAAAAGTAAAGCAAAACACCCGCCCGTTTCCCGCGCGACCGCTGGAAATCCGGTCAGACTCAGGGCAGGATCTCCGGGGATCCCGCGGTGGAACCACCCCAGGCTTCCCAGGCCGATAGGGCGGGGAGACTTCCGAGGACGCCCTACGCGTGGTTCTGGCCCAAGGCTGGAAGGGAGGGGGTTTGTTCTAGTGAGGCGCCAATTTGGAGGAGAGAACCCCGAGTGCTGTGAACTCGGTTTTCCCTGAAGCTCTGAAAATGGTTGTCAGCCCCAGGGGGTCGCCGATTCCCCAGAGAGTGTGTGTGTGTGTGTGTGTGTGTGTGTGTGTGTGTGTGTG